GCCTGCAGAGCTTGGGTACAGGCCAGAGGTGCAGGGGCGGTGAAAGGATTCACCAGAGGCAGAGTGGGGAGCAGAACAGGCCAACTGACAAAGTACATTGCTTAGGGGAGCAGTGGGCTGGTCAGGAGAGGTCTGCCACACCATGTGGTCACCTCCCGGGCAGGAAGCAAACTCATGCTGAAGTCGCTTTAGCTTCTTAGTGCTGTGCTTTAACCCGCTGCACCACCCCAGGGAGGCTTTTTTTTTTTTTTTTTTTTAAGGAAAGTAAAGTATATATAGACAGACTGACTGAAATATTCTGCTAAGGAGAGTTGCGGGAGAGACAGGAGAGATTTGTTGTGCCATGTGGGTTAGCTCTCTGGCTGGGGATCAAACTAGTGCTGCAGTGGCTGCAGACAGCATCACAATGCTGCACTTCAACCCTTTGCACCACCAGGGAGGTCCCCAGGAAGAATTAGGTTATAAAGAAGCAGGAAACAATAGTTTTAGTACACAAAAGCCAGATTAGATATCAAGACAAACTCAATTTGTATTACTCTTCCTGTATGTTAAAATACTAATGCTACATGTCTATTTCTCTACTCTAGGATTTGGGAAGAATAATGCATTCAGTAGCTGGGTCTACAGTTAAGATAATGTTTTTGAAAAAGATCCTTTATTCTTTTTTAAATTCATGGGAGGAATTTATTCCTTCCTGTAAGTACATTTGCAGAGTCCATCAGACTCACGATTATCACCGCCTAGTTTATCTGAATAAACTCCTTTCAAGGAAAATTTCTTGGGTGCATGAAGCTGCTCTCAGCTTTCCTCTCAGCTTTCCTCTACAGAAGCCTTATCACTACTTAGTTGTGTGACATTAACATTTGATTCCAGGGTTCTCGCTCTCCTCACCTCAGCAGGCAGCCAGCTTTGTGGGCTGAAAGGAATACTAGGTTAACTACCAGTAGTCACAGGGTGGGTTTAGGTCTTTTCTCTATTAATTTTGTGTCTTTGGCCCAATCATGTGCACCCATCTGACTGACTTTCCTTATTTTTAAAATAATGAGAACAAAATGGTGATTACCAGTGGAAAAGGGAAAAGGGTTGGGTAAGTCAGGTAAAGGAAGTCAGTTGGTGGTGGGAGGTAGAAATTGGACTTTAGTGGTACTCACACTTAGTAGCTACGGATGTCAAAATACATTGTACACCTGAAACATGTATAATGTTATAAACCACGTAATATCAATGAAATTTAAAGAAAAGACTATCTTCAAAAATAAGAAAATAATGATATCTGATGAGGTTCTTATGATGAACAACCAATTCTTCCAAGAGAAGTTTAAACTTTATATAGACTATAATCAGAGAATCAAATATTTTGCTGTCATGGAATTAATATACATAATATTGTTAATAGAATTAATAGACTGAGACCTAAGTGATCATAATGTAGAGAATAAGTGAAACAATTAGTAATAATAACTAATATTTTTGAGAGCTTATTATAGTCTATGTACCATTCTAAGCACTTTACATCTATTTAACCTTAAATAATCTTCTACAGATCCTCTAAAGTAGGCCTATTCTCCCGAGTTTACAAGTGAAACTAAGTATGGAGAAGGTAAGTAATTTGCAGGCATAGAGTATGTAAGAGTTTTAAAACTAGATTTGAATTCAAACCAATCTGAATGTACAACTTGCCCTCTGACTACTATTCAGTACTTCCTCTTGAGGGAATATCATATAATACTTCCTTAATTAGGACTCAAAGTCCTAACAAACTTCAAATGGCATTTGAGTTCACAGATATAGCACTCAAACCCCTTTCCAGCCCTATTGTCTTAGTTCCAGACAGAATTCACTCCAGCTAGTCCAGTCCAATTAAATATCCAATGAATCTACATTGCACATTCTCACTTGTCTCCATCAGAAAATTTCTACTATTAATTTGCACACATTACTAAATTGTAATCTCTACTTTCTCTGAAAAACATCAACAGTTGATGTCTATATTATTTACCTGTTGTTTACTGCAGGCTATTCTAATGTGGATGATTCATTTTTAGCTTAATTCTCTCTTCAGTTCAGTGTTTCTTCAGATTGTAAGTAACCATCAAGAACAAACAGTGGTTTCAAATTATGATAAGCCCCATGGTTTGGCTTATGATCCTAAATTGAAATTATATTGTATGTATCTGACTACCTCCATAACTAACCCTATCTTTTTCATCATCTCTCTAGCGTTTAGCATCGGACTTGCAACACTAGTAAGTTCAATGGATATTTGGTGAAGGGGTGAACCAGTGAGTGAAAAAAGTGAAATACACAGCACATATGGTACTCAAAAATTGCTAGTTAATATTACTAGAAGCCTCTAAATTTTACCCCAGAAATAGGAAATTGTCTACCATAATATCTGATTGAGTAAAAGTTTCTAAAATTATGACACAAATGTGTAACCTTTATATAATTGGGCCTGTTGTTAGGGTAAATGGTACCAAGCTTGGTGTGATTTACCAAGCAGGACTTTAATATAACACATTATCAAATCCTACTCAAGAAAAAAGTAATCAAAAACGTCTGTCAGTGAAAGCATATTTCCACAGCAGCAGGCAGATCCTTGCTAATGAAATTGATTACATGACACACTGTTAAAAGTAACACAGTTTAATAACATACAAGAAAACACCACACCTACCTGTGTCAAAGCATACTTATTCTATCTATGGACAAAGACCAAGACAGAAATGCCAGAGGGGCTATACCACTAATGTTTATATAGGTTATATTCTTATTTTCTCTCTGCCATATCTTACCCACTGTGACAAATACTAGGTTTTTACTGACACTAAAGTAGACACTTTAGTGTCTACATAGTGCATAGTAGTGTAATTATAGTACTATCACAATTAATTATAACAAACCAGACATTTTAAATACCACGTGTTATGAGATGAATTGTATCCCCCCAAAGTTCACATATTAAAACCCTAACCCCACGACCACTGATCATGACTATATTAGATACACGATATTTAAAGTAACTATTGTCTTAGAATAATTCACTGGCATGAATCCTAATCCAAAACAAGTGTCCTTAGAGGAAAAGTACATTAAGACATAGAACACAAATGAATATGGAGGAGTTAACAGTGTATAAGTTTTAAAACACATAAAGACACAAGAAGGAGCCCAAAATAGGTCCCAAAAGAAATCAGACCTATAGATACCTTGATCTCATATTCACAGCCTCCATAACTGTTAGAAAATCAGTTGCTACTGTGTAAGCTACCCAGTCTGTGGTACTTCGTTACATCTTTGTAACATCTGATTTAACAAAGTGATCTAAGACACCAAGTAGTTCTCATTTCTTAGTTCATTAAAGTCTCACTTAATAGCCCAAACAGTTGAATATGGTAATTGTATCCCCACTTTACAATTAGGGAAACCAAAGTTTCAGAGATGTTAAATGACTTCAATCAGCTGTCGGGCGGCTATCCGTGGCAGCATGTGGGAGTTAGACTACAATCCTGCCCAACACGTGATAGACTAGAGGATACCCAGACTTTGGTACCAACATTACCCTAAACTAATTGTGGGGCCTTAAGAAAATAATAATAATTTTTTTAGCTTTTTTTTTTTCCATCTGTACCATAAGGAACTTTTTCTTTTTTTTTAAAATATATTCGTTATATCATCCTTCATTTTTATACCACGTATGGTTTCCCCGTGAAATCCCACCACCAATCCACCTGTGCACCATCACCATAATCACTTGTGTTCTTCCCACCCATGTTCTGGTCCTTCTCCTTCCCCCTCCCCTACAGAATGTCTCTGATCTGTAGTTGCCTGATGATTTTGATTTTGATTTGTTTATAGTTACTTCTTTTTTCTGATTCCTTTTTTGTTTACCATACGGAAGTTGAACTGAATACTCTAATGGCTGAATAGACTAGGCATCTATATAAAAACTCTTTCAGTTTTAAAAGCTTAGTACAAATCACTGTTTTCAGTCAAACTCCCTAATGAACTATCTCCATAAACTCACTTAGAATTAAGAAAATTCACTATTTGGGAATTCTTTAATATTCTACCCACAGACTATAAAAACTTATTTGTTTATACATAAACAATATCAGCTGTATCTTCAAAATTATTTTCTCAAAAATATACATACTTGAGAAACTTAAAATGTCATTTCAAAATTTGTTTATATAAGGCTACGTCCCATTAGCTTATTTTCTGTTAGATTTCTTCCACTGTGAGTTTTTCAGGGTTACATACAGATTCAGGAGCAAAATAAAGGTTAAAATTTTGGTATAGAAAATATGAGATCCATCTAAAAATCTTTAGTGCATTATTGATTAATCTTGAGTGAAAAAAGGTAGCAGCAAACTTTAGTTGCAAGCTTGAAAATGAAATAAATGGCTTCCTGTTTGCCTAGCAAGAAAGTTTACCATGAAATAAAAGACTATCTGTGAAATACCTGTGAGCTCTTTGGCGGGAAATTGCTGCCTATATTCAATTGCAAGATAATTAATAAAACCTCCCAGAGTTAGGGTATCTATTTTCAACAACTTCCTCAGTTCTGAAATATCATATGAGTTCTTGATTTATTTTGACATACCTGTAATAAATGTACATTTTGTTTAACAAGAATAGGGAAGTGTGTCATGGAAAATCATTTGCCCCACAATGGAGGATAACTGCTTATATGACTGTTTAGTTTAAAATTGTGAATCATCTCCTATGTATTTTCAGCTAAATGAAGGCAATCTGCACACAGGGGAGAAAAAAAAAACCTACAAACTACATCCAATCACCTAAAGACAAATCAGCTTTCAGGCAAATCAAATGTCTTCATTTAAAGCTTACCTGGATTTGGCACTGAGCCAATCTTTTCCAACTCTCCTAACAATATGTCTTTATCAGCAAGATATAAATTGTTAAAACATGCAAACTTAAAGTTTTACCTTTTGCACAGTTTTTATGAACTGTAATCCCTTTAGCTCAGAAAAAGCTTGGGAAAAGGAAAGTTTCTTCCGAATTAACAACATGTGAATACAGGATTAGTGGGTGGGATTGGAGAGTTCGCTGGTGCATAAATAGAGGCTGGAGCTCAGCTCACACACTCAGAAGCTTGGATTGCATCGAGGCTGCCTGGCTCGCCAGATAGGTGGGTGGGGAAATCCAGGTAAGCTCCTGACAATAGCATTAGTTCACTTGTTAGAGTGAGCTTTGGCCTCTTATTACTGTGTCAAATTACAGGCAATCAATAGAGTAGTCCAAGGTAGTTTCATGGGCAAAAGAGTGAGACTTGGAGAGAGAATAATAGAATTTTCCCCAGAACTTCCCAGGACCTTTCTTTGGCCAGAGCTTTCAGAATTCTGCATTTCCGAGCTTGTACAGGAAGTGCGTTTTGGAAATACGAGGATGAGTTAAGGATATGGAGGTCTCAAGGTTGGGAGAGGTCCAGTGTCTTCTATCTCAGCCAGTGTATCCTGGTTACCATCTAAGCCTTTGCTTCTCTCCCCCTGGCTTTATAAAGTCAAGGCCCATAGGACTGTAAAACCTTAGTACAGATTGCTTAGAATTGCAATTCAGAAAATTATAGCAAAATTGTTTTGTTTCTCTGTAACAATGTCTGTTGCTTCTGCAGTCTTTTAAATTCATGAGATAGGCTGTAAAGGTAGAAATCTGATTGCTTTCTGAGCATTTACGAACAAAGAGCTGGAATTTACCGCAAGTTCATTCCTTGATCGTAATAATACAAAGAGAAAGTACAGGGGAGAGAGAAAAAAATCTCCAAATTATCAACATTTTCCATGGTGAGTGTTCTATTTGCAAGTGGTTTATGCAGGAAGTTTGCAGAGCAGTCTATTCATATTACAAAACTCAATAGATTGAATACAGAAGTCAGCCCAGAATAGGATGTTTGCCCAGCAGGAGTTACCTTAAATTTCCTTGATACATCCTGCCATAAAACATGTGTAATATATACACTTATCAATAGCCCCAACCTTGAAACCATGAAGCAATTGTGATAGCCACTTGCACAGTAAGAGTTGTCTATGAACTAAATATATAGATGAAATGCTTTATCACCAGTTTACCATTATTTTTCTAACATACATAGATGCTGCTACTATAAATAAAATACAAAGATCAAATGTTTGTTGATAAATTCCAAGTAGCTCTTTGGCAAGATTATGTTTGTGAATCAACTTATATTCCAAAAATATTCTCACAAAAGTATTTGAGATAGCTTTATATTTAAAAAGCTGTCATTGTACTAAGAAGGCTAGTGATTGTTGACTTGTAGGTACTACTCCAGTTGTAACTGCAGAATGCTGATATTGTTATTGCTACTGGATAGAAAAATAAAAATGTATTGGGTGCTTTGGGCTTGTATCTTTTTTGAATGATAAAAAATTTTGTGGCTACAAACTATGATTTGGCTAATATAATGCCTATTTTTTTAAAGATGTATTTTTATGCATACAGAACTGGGGTACAGGCCAGAGGTGCAGAGGCAGTGAAAGGATTCACCAAAGACAGAGTGGGGAGCAGAGCAGGCAGATTGATGAGTACACTGCTGAGGGGAGCAGCAGGCCAGTCAGGAGAGGTCTGCCACGCCATGTGGATCACCTCTGGGGTGGGGATCAAACTCATGCTGCAGTGGCTTTAGCTTCTTAGTGCTGTGCTTTAACCCCCTGCATCACCAGGGAGGGTCCTATAATGCCTCTTTTTAAATCAGCTAATGTTTAGCAAAATTTCCCCTCAACTACCAGAACATAAGAAATTTACCTCTTTAAAAATATTAAGCATTGGCCCTCCCTGGTGGCGCAGCAGGTTAAAGCACAGCACTAAGAAGCTTAGGCCACTTCCCCATGAGTTCGATAACCGCCTGCCCCAGAGGTGACAACATGGCGTGGCAGACCTCTCCTGACCCGCCCGCTGCTCCCCTCAGCAGTGTACTTCATTGATCTGCCTGTTCTGCTCCCTGCTCTGTCTCTGGTGAATCCTCTCACCCTCCACATTTCTGGCCTGTACCCCAGTTCTGTATAAACAAATAAATAAATCTTAAAAAAAAATTAAGCATTGATAGTCCATCCTGTTTCCTTTGCTGAGTTTGATTTAATTTAAAACTTACACAATAGTAATTAGATGTGTCATTTTAAGCAATCTCAGTCTTTATCTTTGAGAATCCCGTCACTAGCTTTGTATTTTTTCATTCCTGGATACTATGATTTGCTAGTGCAACTCACTTTGCTAGCCAAGTTTACTATCTTGTTACCTCGTACATCTATCTTATCTAGCAATTCACCTTCCTTTTTCTAGTAACCTCCTTCACAGTAGTGTGACTTTCCTGCAGAATTAAGTAAGTAATATTGGAAAGGGGTAAAGTTTTTAACCAAAAAGTTGTTGGATTGTTTACTCTGTGTTACCAAGTCCTGTGGAATAGCTGAGTTCACCAACTTCTGAAAGATCCACATAAAATCAAAGAGTTCTTTGAAAGGAAATGCATTTGATGTATTTTAGTCAATTTTAGAGCCAATATGTAGAGTGAGTAGATGTTACACTAGGGACAAAGCTGACTGCGTGCAACTCTTCAGTGAAAAGTTGGCAGGTTCTACATGAAATAAGAAATCATTTCACTCAGAATTCATTCTTCCATGGCAGTGTCTTCATTTTAACAAAAGATTAACAAAGGTTTCAGGATGGGAAGAGCCAGAATCTCAAAATATCAAGATCTGAAATAAAATCTTTGACTCTGTACCCATCTCATACATTTTCATCTCTCAGATCCTTCCTCAATAATATGAGACATGGGGGTGGAGGTAGGAAAAGAGGAAGTTACCCCTAATGTGACTTCCAGTGCAAATATATTGTAATATACAATTTAAATGGAAGTTTCTTAACTGTCAAAATATATACATCTGTCTCCTTGGTTTCTTAAAATATATATACATATTTCAATATTACAGAATTCTACAGAGGCTTAAATCAGTATATTTATATCTATGTGGGTCTATATGTAGCACTAAATCAATATTCACAATATGTATTCTTAAGAAAATTCTTTGTAAAGTAATATTTACTCTCATCACATATTCAATATTAACTAAACCTCACTTCCTTCTGTATGCCTTAGTGCGATAAAATCTTAAGGCTGCTAATTCCCTCTTGTTTTACTTATTTACATTTTGCTTACTTGTTTTCCTATCAGACTTGCCATGGAGAAGATTTCAGTGTCAACATTCTTGCTTCTTGTGGCCCTCTCCTACACTCTGGCCAAAGATGCCACAGTCAAACCAGGAGCTAAAAAGGATGCAAAGGACTCTCGCCCCAAACTACCCCAAACTCTCTCCAGAGGTAGGAGTTAGCCTTAGTTTCCAACACTACTTAATCGGGGAGCCGAACATATTTTGTGTGTTCCTTCTGGATTTATCAGTTTATAATTATTCTTACTTCCTCCGTAGTAAAGATAAAGATCTAGCTTACTTCTACCATTAATTTTCAACAGCTTTGAGTCTAAAATGACATTGTTTTAAATCTACTGTTCATTCTGTTCTGTTCTAGGTTGGGGTGATCAACTCATTTGGACTCAGACGTATGAAGAAGCTTTATACAAATCCAAGACAAGGTAAAGCTGAGTTATATAGCTCTCAAAGCTCTCAACAGCACCATCTAGTGATAAGTAACTACAAAAAAATCCTACTCACTCAAAATCATCCAATCTCTCTTTATCTCTTAAAGCAACAAACCCTTGATGATTATTCATCACTTGGATGAATGCCCTCACAGTCAAGGTAACTTGTTCTAAATATAATTTCTTTTACAGGTTTTTAGCTTTAGGCTAGGGTCCAAATCACTCATCTTTATATTTTTAGCATCTAGCACAACTGAGTATTTTATGTAGCAAAAATATTTTAAAAAGCTCCTACATTTTGTGTTAATTACTGGTGCATACAGTGAAGACATACTCTAGAATTCATCCTTGATTTTTTGCTTTCTCTTATGTCCTACATCCAATACATTAGCAAATACCACTGTCAAAATACACCCTAAAGTCAGTATCAGCTTCATGGTCCTGCAACTGTCTAGTCACATAGAGCTTACCGTTTTTGAAGACTTGATTTAAAGCTCTGCTGTCACTGTATTAAAATTCTTAATAATTTTGAACAAGGGAACTCCATGTTTTTACTTTGTTCTGGGCCCAGTATATTACGGAGGTCCTGTTCATATACAGTAATTTCCTGTTGCTTCATTGCTACTGCCAGTCCAAACCAAGATCACATCTTGTCTAGACTACTGCAATACACCCACCTGCCTCACCAGTCACCCTATAGTCAGTTTCCCAGATAAAAACCAAAATGAGACTGTTAAATATAAACCAGATCCTATCACTCAGGTTCTCAAATGACTTCTCAACACAGATAAAACTGACTCCCAATCCTGACCAGGGCTTGTAAGACTATTATCTGGTCTCTGATTCTCTTCCACCCTTCCCAGTCTCCCCATGTTTACTCTTTACTCCTCCACCTAGCTTGGTCTTTGTGCTTTTCCTCAAACACCTGAGCTCATTACTGCTTCAGTGTTACTCCTTTTACAGTCCCTCTGCTTAGAATGACTCACTCTCAAAAATCATAAAATGGATTACTCTCACATTAACATCACCTTTCCAAAGAGGTCTATTCTAGTCAACCCACAGCTCTTAAATTGCTTCTCTTGCTTCATTTTTCTTCAAAGTACTTCTCTCTACCTATGTTAGGTATTTATTTACTTATTTATGATCAAGCTCCTACACAAGCATATGAGCGCTATGAAGAAAGCACATTACTTTTTTCCTAGTACTCTATCCATATTGCACAAAACAGTGCATACATACAGTATCCACTCAATAAGTATGGTTGGGAAAAAACAAATGGATGGATAAAGAATGAGTGAGTGAGTGAGTGAATTATAAGAAACAAAGGTAGTCAGTTACCTCTATATTACTTCAGTAATCATCTGCTAAATTGGAGAAGTAAAATACTATATTAAAAATACAATTCAACTTAAAATGTAGCAAAGAACAATTGTTTTAACTGGTAATGAGATCGATGTGTAATGATTCTTCTTTACATTTTAGCTTTAAAGAAAGTGTTTGCTGAAAACAAAGAAATCCAGAAATTGGCAGAGCAGTTTGTTCTCATCAATTTAGTTGTAAGTTTACTTTTCACCATCCCTAACATTTCTCTTTGGATAATTACTTGAAAAAGAAGATTCATTTTCCCATAAATATTAGTCATAGTCATATTGCATGAACTATAACCTGTCCCCAATACCTTATTTTACAGATTGGAGATAACAATATCTTATTTTATTAATAATCTGTCTTGCATTTATTTTATTTAGTGATTTATAATGTTCAATTACCTGAAACATACTCTCCTGTGGTTAGGTTTATGTCTGTTGCTGTAATCATTAGGCTTTTGTTTTTGCAAATTACTTTCTGCTCCTATAGTCCCAGCTGCTCCACATCCATTCTTAATCCTTGTTCCGCTCTATCTAGAAAAGACAAAGTTTTGGCTGTCTAAATTTAATCATGCAACTGTGCTTTAGCTTCATAAGTTCCCATCTATTCATAAGTTTCCACCACTTTCTGTTGAGTGTGTGCAGTGCACAGAGCACGGGGTCTCCCTCTTCCCCCCCCCCTTCAACCCTCTCCTTCTTGCCCTTCCTCCTTGTCCATCGCTACCTCCCTCTCTCTCCACAGATTGACAGGCTTGCTTCTCCAAAGTACACAGACAGTTCTTCCTCATTTCCCTTCAAGGACCTTTCTTCCCTCTACCTCTTAATGTTAGTGATTTGATGACTCTATACTTGAGCTGATCCTCTTTTTAAATTTTATTTTCTCCATTCATTCACACTGTCTTTCAGCAACACCTACACACTGGTGATTCCCATATCTTACCCAAAACAACTTGCAACTTGTGTATACAATAGAGATCTAGATATGCCATAATTAGCTTAAACTCAGTATATTTAATATGAGTAAGTCATTTTGGCCCAGGCCTTTCAAATTGCTCTTCTTTCTCTATTTCATCAAAGGTATTATTCTAGACTGGAATCTCCTACTCACTTTGTTTAACAGTCAAGAAGTCCTATAGTTCTAAATTCTAAATATTCTTACTATTACTTCCATATAAAATGAGGACCACCTATTTTGGCGTACAAATTTTTCATTTTACTTACTTTACATTAGTACTGCTAAGTGATTCCCTGCCTAATAGACTTACATAACCACATATAAAGGTAACTCTAAAGATCCCAATTTGAATTGGGATCACAGTGCCTCTTCTAACATGCTCCCCTGGCTTTTCTCTATGCACAAATACAATCATGGCATGCTGAAAAAGGACATTCATGCTCCAGCCCCAAAGCAACTTGAGCATCTTCTATCACCACCTCCTTTATATTTAACACTGAGTCATATCAAAAGGTGTTATATGCCTTTGCAGACTGCCTACACCCAGTGCCTACATCCATCTTCTTTTCCATGCAATTCATCCCTATTCACTCTTTAAGATTCCCCCCCTGGGCCCTCCCTGGTGGCGCAGCGGGTTAAAGCACAGCACTGAGAATCTAAAACCGCTTCTGCATGAGTTCGATTCCCGCCTGCCCTGGAGGTGACCACATGGCGTGGCAGACCTCTCCTGACCCGCCCGCTGCTCCCCTCAGCAGTGTACTTCGTCGATCTGCCTGTTCTGTTCCCCACTCTGTCTCTGGTGAAGCCTCTCGCCGCCCCTGATCTTCTGGCCTGTACCCCAGTTCTGTATGTACAAATAAATAAATCTTTAAAAAAAAAAAAAAAAAGATTCCCCCCCTAACTTGGGAAAGTGCTAGAATACCTACTAGATACTCATATTCACTTTCCTACCAATAGACTATGCATTCATTAAAGATAAGTTCTATAAATAGTTAAATTAAGAAAATTCTAACTTAAAAAATTGGAAAGAAAATCTTGTCTATTTCTGGACTCCTGCAAAAATGAATTTTGCTTTTTTCAGTAATCTATTCACGATTTCTTCCCAAACACTTTAAATCCTCCCATAATTCTCTTATTGAACACATTTGTTGATTTCATATTCAGCTCTTTACTTCATGTGTTGAATTATATTCTTCTCCACCTTATTATTTCATGCTTATCTTCTCATCAGCATCATAAACTTTATTGAAGAGACATGACATACACTTTTTTAACATATCTAGCCCAGGAAGCCCAGGAATGGGCAGTTTCTAAAATAACAAATTTAAAAATAAACAAACTAAAACTTTTCATTTTTTTAAATCTTAGTATGAAACAACTGACAAACACCTTTCTCCTGATGGCCAGTATGTCCCAAGGATTATGTTTATCGGTAAGTACAGTGATGGGAGATTAAACAGACCCTTAACATCACACAAATGCCACTCACTCCATCTTGTCCTCTGCCCCCTCACCTCACCCTCACTGGACATTCTACAAAGGCCAGGGTCACTTAAAGCTCTAGCCAGAGGTATAACATTCCTTTTAGGCTCCACAGCTTCTTTTCACTAGGAAGTACTCTATCAGCTACTGAAATTCAATGAGGACCAGTCAGACCTCCAGCGGTCACTTCACTGAACGTGGCCTCTTTGCACGCGTTCTGTACCTTCCATCTACGAAGCCCGCTGGAGGTATCCCGCAAAACCAGATGTCTGGGAAGCAGCAGCACTGAGCTCAGTGCTTCTCCGTGCTGCCTGCATATTCCAATCACCTGAAAGATTTTGTAAACGAAGCCTCCCTTATCGTAGCTCAAAACTTCAGTATTTTTATAAAGCTCTGCAGGTAGTTTCAGTTAACAGCCAGGGCAGCTCAGTGAGGGAGAGGCTTTCCTTATAATTAGACCATTGTAATGTGTGTCTGCTGCACCCGCCCTGGGTTTGCGCTGCTCCTAAGCCGTGGTTGATCAAATGTATGTCTATTTCTTGTAATTTGTGTTGGTTGGTCCTAGTCCAGTGGCCTCAAATGACAGATTGTCCGCTTAAGTATCACTGTCAGGCTCCACACTTAAAATGGTTCTCACAGAAGCTTTATTAGTTTTCAGGGCAGTTACCTAAGGGGTAACTGTTACCTAAGGGCTCTTTCAATCAGCCCTTTTTAAGATTTAAACTTGCTTGTATCTGAATAACTCCTTTTTGTTGCACCTTACATTTAAAATGTGAAAATATCTTACCATTCCCCACCCCAAACCCCCATATCTTAGTAATGGATAACATTAAGTATATAACATGGGGAAAAAAGGATTTAAACCAAGGAATATATGTATACATAAGGGATGACTGCTGACTTTCTAAAATGTAAACATCTATTTCTAAAATGCAGCTGGTTAAAAATAAAAATAATGGGGAGTTGGGGGCTACACTACATGCTAATCAACCATTGCCTGTAAAGGCTTATTTTTTATTCACTTTTTTAAAATCTCGGGTTTTGAAAACTGGCATTGGATGTCAGTTTCTAACTATCTGGGAAACACCTTTCAGTAATGACATAGACGTATCACAGGTTTTAAGCTGTTTCTTAAATATTGATTGCCAATGTTTTCACCAAAACAAAACAAAAATTCCCAACAATATATTTTATCACATCTTCAGGTTGCTATATTAGGAAGCAGAGTTCATAATGTTTTCCTCAAATAGCACAGGCAGCTGTTGACGCTGCAGCTCCCCTTGGGTACTGACAGCAATGGCAGGTTGCAGAGTAGATGTAGAGAACAGAACTCAGCCCAAGGGACACACACTTAGTTCCTCACTTAGGATGTGGATAAATACATAGACTTCATCAGGTAAGAGAGAGGTTACTTGGAAACTCAGCACTCTTGTCTTTTGCCTTGTAGACCCATCCTTAACAGTTAGAGCCGACATCACTGGAAGATACTCAAATCGCCTTTATGCTTATGAACCTTCAGATGCAGCTCTATGTAAGTGTTACCTCTTTTGTACATCTCTATTGCTGCCCTGCTGGAAGGAGAGGTTACTTGGTGAGGAGAAAACTCTGCTCAGAGACAGAGAATCTCTGAGAATTCTTGTGTCATCAAGCAAATCACTTTCACTTTGAGACTGATTTTTAAAAATCTTAAGTGAAGATGACTTATTTTGATTAGGTAACTTTTACTCCTGGGGCTGTCTATGACAAATAGTACCTATTTTCTCAGGCTTTCCCCTTAGGCACACTAACTTGCCACTCCTACCACAGAATTGAGTGCAACAGTAATTATACAATTGCAGTAACAGTAGAAATCTACATGCTCTGTTAAGTATTTTTTTCTAAAGAACAAAAGTGAAATGAGGTAGCCCAGCTTGTTGAAATTGAAGGTAAGTTCACTTTTAAAGTTCAACAGGAAAGATAGTTCCAGCTTGTTGCCAAGATACTCAGTGCCCCTGGGGTTGTGGTAAAATGAAAAAAAAAAAAAATTAGAGACTCAAGGCAAGTGGAACACCTCAAAAGGAGACTATACCTAATGTGACATCTGATTAGTCCTTCTGGGGAAAAAAAAATTGAATTTTTACCTAAGAACCCATTTTGCCCTCGTATGGCCTGCCTATAACTATGCTAACCAGAGTGTTAGCCATCAGCCACATGAAGAATGTTTTTTTATATTAAATTGAAATTAGAATTTAAAATTCCATCCTGCACACACACACTAGTCACACTTCAAGTAGCAAGTAGTTAGTGCATAGGTACTGAGTATTTCTCATCATCATAGGAATTTCCATTGGACAACATTGACCTATATTATGTTGGAAAAGATTTTCTTGATCCATTAGTAATGTTTCCACTGGATGAAGGGAAGACAAGGAGCACATTCCATGTACTGGTCACTCTGGAGATGCCAAGGGGAAATGTCTTATACAGTTAATATCAGTGTCTTGTAGAAAGGGCACTTAATAAATATTGGAAGAGAACGAGAAGCCATTGCAGATCATTCTGGAAAAAGTTTTTATATGATTATCGAGTTCTTACCCTATGATAAAATAGCACTCCATTAAACAATGATAGAGTACCTGCGTTTGGGGGAGTTACTGTATTTACTCATTCCTGGTAGCATTTTGATGCTCTCCTTCTCCCTTTAGTACTGGACAACATGAAGAAAGCTCTCAAGTTTCTGAAGACTGAATTGTAGAGGAAAAAAAAATCTGCAAACTCTTCCTCTCTTCCATCTGTTAATCCTTGAGATACGGAAGCAGAGATTTTTAGAAGACTATGGATAATGTGGAAGCACTGGTGGACATACAGAAAAGATTATGGTCTAATGTTACAACAGCTACTTTTTAAAAAATTGGTTCCAATTTGTTTTATGAAAACAATATTATATACTACCATAGTGAGCCATGATTTTTAAAAAAATAAATCCTTTTGGGAATGTTCAAATTGTTGTTTTCCCAATTTGCTCTTTCACAGAAATGCTATTTGGTTCATTTACCAAATAAACCCTGTGGATGCACACAATAGTCACAAAAAGGGGGCAAGACAAAGCTACTTCAAGCACTAAGACCAAAGACAAACTTTCTATCTCACCTCACCATAGTTTGTCAGTGGTTGAATAAAGTACACATGAACTTAATCAGTGAAAAGTATCACATTTACCAATATACGCTTTAAAGAATATGCACAAAAGCATTCCAAGAAAATCAGGCACCTACTTCAAAACAACCCTTCTCCATCTTAGCCAGAAATTTCTATGCAGGCACTTAAATTCCATAATTAGTTTTAACTAGGTTTTGCCCAAGTAAATGCTCTCAGAGAAAAGAGCTCTAACAAGTAGTTTTCTTCTTCAGAAGACTAATTTAGTGAAAAAGTCACTCAAAGAACATCCAAGAATTCCTAAAGAAATCTTAAACACTGATTTTAAAATAGATTTTTTTCTCTCTCATCATATTATGAGTTAGAATATCTGATCTAGAATAAATTCCGTTAAATTGGTGCCATCTTCACAAAACTATAATTGGTTGGAAGAAGAATAAAGGTCTGTATTATGTCAATGCATAGGGATTGGAGATCACTGCATGTCTCTGGAAATATTTTGAGAAAGAGTATAGCTTCAGAAAGTGGCTCTTTATTAACTCTTTATTCTGACAGAGTTAAGTATATTAATTTCTTCACTACATGTTTAACTTCACATTCATTGTTATATAAAATTCCTTCGTTACCTAGCTCCCTGAATACAATGCTTTCTTTTATTTTACTTAAGATTTACTTATGCATGCAGAACTGAGGTATAGGCCAGAGGTGCAGGGACAGTGAGAAGACTCACCAAAGGCTGAGTGAGGGGCAGAACAGACAGAGGGCAGAACAGACAGATTGACAAAGTGCACTGCTGACGGGAGCAGTGGGTGAGACAAGAGGTCTCCTGCACCATGTGTGTCAGCTCCCTAGCCAGGGATTGAACTTGTATCAAACTCATGCTGCAGTAGCTGTGGATAGCTTCTAGATGCTGCACTTTAACCCACTGCACCACCAGGGAGATCCCTAGTACAATGCTTTAATGTTGACTGTTGTCTTGATTAAAAGTTTGAGAGGGGGGAGACAGCTTCTTTTCTGAGTAGATCGTTTGCAATTATTAACCTTTCCAGTGCAGATAATCTATTATAAATACTTTTCTCTCAGTACTGCCAAATAGCTATATACTAGTAGGTTCTGAGCATATATTGTTGACTTAATGATATCCAAATTCTCAGTAAAAACAACACTTGAGGAAATGTGCTTCTCATAAGTAGCTACCCTACATGTGGGTAAAATAGTTAAAAGGGTAAAACAATGGGAACAGAAAAATGTTTTTACTTGTATAAACAAACACACTGAATGACAACTTTTAAGCTATTCGAATTTTCTCTATAATAAAGCAAAGTAATATTTTTTAAATTGTGCTGATGTGAAACAAGGCTAAGTCCTTAAAATTTACTGAATGACAAAATGTTATTTTAACAATATGTAATTTTAAAAATACATAAATTTCATGGAAGTCAAATGTCAAGATGGCAAAGAGAATGAGTTTCCCCTAGGAAAGTATTACAAATAGAGCAACAGTCATAAAAATATTAACTTTGATCCAATCTCTTCTACTTCTGAGACTATCATCTTACTACGGAAATCATTCAAAGAAAGAGGTCATTCAAGAGAAAGAGGTCAATGCCAATAGCAACATTATTTAAGCAAATGTGAAAATGAAAATTGGCAGCCACCAAAGACAATGGTTCATTGACATAAAACACTTTACACTGACATCTATAAAAGTAATAAAAGTTATGGAGAAATAGAACAAAATACAGTATATAATTTAAGAATTGTAACTACAGTAACATATACAGGTTTGAAATAAAGATGCAAACCTGAAAACTATCACTTTACAGTCTTGCAAGTATTAGCAAAGGCCATTCTTTCTAAGAAGCCCTTTAATATAACACATTATCTTTAATTTGCATTTAAAGAAATTTAAATGAAAGCATATTTTTATGTTCTCTGACTACAGAGAATGAAATAGTAAAAAACTAGGGATTATTATTTTCAAGGACTAAATTAAAAAGGTTGGTGAGATGGTAGAAAGGTTAACTGGTGCAGCCATCATGAAAAACAATTATTCCTCAAAAAACTAAACACAGAAATATTGTCTGATCCAATATGTCAGTTCTGCATGTGTGCCCGAAACACCTGAAAGCTGGGAAAAAATACTTGAATGCTCACATTCATAATAGCACTACTAACAATAACCAGGAGGCAGGAGCAACCCACATCCACATCCATCAAGAGATAAATGGATAAAAGAAATGTGGCAAATACATACAATGGAATATTATTCAGCTTGAAAAAGGAAGGAAATTCTGACACATAACTTCAACATGGAAGAACTGTGGAGACGTGATGCCAAGTAAAATAAAGAGACAGACACTGTATGATTTCACTTATATGAAGTACCTAAAGCAGACATATTACAGAAAGGTAGAATAGTGGGCGCCAGAAGTTGAATGGAGGTGGCTATAGCATTTAGCAGGAACAGAGTTCCAGTTTGGAAAGATGAAAAACTTCTAGAAATGGAGCAATGGAGGTAAATGGCTGTGCAACAATGTGAATGTAGTGAATGTACTAAACTTTACATTTAGAAATGGTTATAATGATAAACTTTACCATGCATACTTTACCACAATTAAAAAAAACTTGTTTTTACATTTTTATCTGAGGTCCCACAAGACAGGGAGAAAAGAGGGGAATTAACTTTTAAAGATCTTGGTAATATAAATCATCTGTAAAGTTGCCGACATGGATAATGAACATGCCTCTCAAACCATTTTACCTGTTTTAGAATTGCAGCTTTCCTTGATCATCCATAGCTGGCTCTTTTGGTTTTTTGTTTTCCATATTCAGTAATCCTAAATAGCTACTGAGGTCCTGATCTTTAGCAATCACTGGTGAAAATGGAGACCAGAACAATCTCTATAAGAACTAGACTTTCTTCAGGCCCTCACCAAGGAGGCCCACATGGAAGTTCAAGTAGTCACCTGATCTAAAAGACCACTTGTCAAGTTGTGACCTGATTAACCTGTGAAAAGCAAGACCATGGAGTCAGCAAATATGGTTTTACCCTCCAAGAGATGCCTTTGGTCTCCTCTCATACACATTTTAACTCACAGGCAATGCCCTGAAGCCCGCATTTGAAAATGAGTTTCCAAAGCTGGTTTTCTGAGGAAAGCAGATAAGAAAGGGCCTGGTGCCGTAGAGTGTGGTTTTTGCCCTTTATCAAAACTGGAGGTATTTCAATAGCTGTTACTACCTCGTTGTGATTTGTCAATTAAGAAAAATGTCAACATGAAAAGCTTTATTTTCTTTTTTCTCCCTCTCCCTTTCTCTCTGGTGGGGTTAAAGGCATTGCTGGTTATTGAAGGATAGGCCTCCACAAGCCTTCCTAAGCTGTGTCACTTGGCACATTCATTATTTCAATCTTAGCTCAATAGAAACCTTGCAGGCTCACAGAAGTTTTCACTACACTACAACCAAACAGGGTGAAATTTAGACATTTAATCCAGAATTGGGGGTATTATCAGAAATAACATTTCTATTAGTTGAACGAAAAGGCAAACATCTAGTTACAAATCATGTGGCGGGGCCCTCTCAGTGGTGCAACAGGTTAAAATGGAGCACTATGAAGCTAGCCGCAGCCCCTTCAGCACAAGTTCAATCCCTGGTCAAGAAGGTGACACACATGGCGTGGCTGACCTGTCCTGTCTGCCCTATTGCTCCCCTCAGCAGTGCACTTCATCAGTCTGTCTGTTCTGCTCCCCACTCTGTCTCTGATGAATTCTCTCACCGCCCCCGCACCTCTGGCCTGCACCCCAGTTCTGCATGCTAAATAAATCTTTTTTTAAAAAAAAAAAAATCACGTGGCCTTCACCAAAAGAGTTCTCTCTCCTTGACGTTCTACCCTTTTACCCCATTTGGTTTTTGCTCAGGATATACAGTGTCATTTTGTCCCACTGGTTTTAAAATTCACATCCACATGGATTCTCCATATGCAATTACTTTTTTCTTTCCTCCTACTAATCTCTCTAATGTTGATTTGATTGTTTGACCAGTCTGGGAACATTCCAGAGGGATAGTGGGAAATTCCTTTCCAACTCTCAAGGTTCCCCTAAGAATACTTAGAAGACATTCACCAAGGATGTATACTGCATGTCAACTAGAATAGAGAGCTGGATATAAAGAGTAACTGCTATCCAAACGTACTAAGAACAGCTTCATACAATTCCCTCACTTATCCAGAGCCTGAAAAAGCCCTGAACTTTATTATCATTTCTAATAAGGCAACTAGGATGCAAATCATATTTGTAAAACCACGATGCTTGAAGTGTATTTTTTTCCTATGAAATACCCTGTAAAAAAGTGATTTGTTTTTTTACCTGCTAAAAAGTGAAATAGTTTCACCTATGTACTCAGAGCATTTCAAAGGAATGAATACACTTAAGCAGAGCTAACCAAATATTTAGAAAACTTGTTAAAAGGATTTGGCTTAAAGAAACTAAGAACTAAAACCCACACTTCTGGTTTCTTTTCTCTCTGAAAGATTCCATTCAGCAGCATGTTACTAGAGTTGAATATGTAGAACTGGTTTTCATACCAAACTCATTCCTGCTTAGATAACACAGGATCTGAAATGAATTCATGCTACATGAGCTCAGGTTCTAGAAATAATAATCTACCAGTTTTTCCTTTGTGTTAGCATTTTATTCTCTAAAACTTTACTTTGAACATCAAAGGCAACTAGGTAAATAGTCTGAGAAACAGTCCCTTAAGTAGAATGTGTACACAGGGAGTAAAATAAATGTTTTAAAAGTAGCACAGTTCATCTTTTTTTTTTTTTTTTTAAAGATTTATTTATTTGTACATACAGAACTGGGGTACAGGCCAGAGGCTCAGGGGCGGTGAGAGACTTCACCAGAGACAGAGTGGGGAACAGAACAGGCAGATCGACGAAGTACACTGCTGAGGGGAGCAGCGGGCGGGTCAGGAGAGGTCTGCCACGCCATGTGGTCTCCTCCGGGGCAGGCGGGAATTGAACTCATGGGGAAGTGGCTTTAGCTTCGTAGTGCAGTGCTTTAACCCGCTGCGCCACCAGGGAGGGCCAGCACAGTTCATCTTTTAAAATAAATACTAACTTTAGAAGGAAAAAGTTCTAGCGTATGAGTTTAAGCCAAATCCAAGTTTGTAACTTGAGGATCCTGATCTGAAACTAAACCTCTGAGCCTTGTGTCTGTAGCAGCACTTTTGTGCAGCGGGGCTTTGACCCTTCCTGTTATCCCAGGGTCAGCTTGGCTTCTGCAGGCTCATCCTTTGGTTCTCAGGGAAGACTATTCAGAGGTCTTTCCAGTGGACCCTATAATATGCTGCATAATGTATCTCTGCACACAGACACTAGCAAAGATCGCAGGATATCTCCTGAAAGAGTCTGGAAAATCTAGCACCTTCAAGTCGTGAGAATAGGAAGTGCAGAGTAACTGGTAAGATATGCTCTTGGTGTTTGAAAATGTGAATGACTTGTCAGTTACTATCTCTTCTTGTAATTCCATAGTTTGGTAGCCTTGAAAACTCATGTTTCCCGGGTTTCAATTTCTAACTAGCTTGATCCAAATAAGGCTGATTAGTGCACAAACCCATGATGAGATAGATAGAGGTAAAGACCCACTCTCTGGAGTAGTCTTTTTGCCACATAAACTGCACCAACAAAAAAAATACTCTGGAGATTCCAGAACCTCATACAAAGTACAAAATACAATAAAACAAACAGAAATTAAAAAAAAAATCCTAAAAGAACATAGAATTTAGCTATGTCTAAACATATTACTAACAATCTCAACTTAGGGTCCAAGTGGGAACATGTCAGGGTTACCCAGAGCTCTGTGTGAGACTGAAGGTATAGGAAATGCCTCCCTACTCGCTAGGTTCATCTCAGGATGAACAAGTAATCAAATAAGCATCAGATTATCAGGAGAAAAAGAAAAACTTAATTGTATTATATATATATTAAATTATACACACACACATATATGGAGAAATGCTAACATATATGGGAGCAAAAAAAGAGTATTTATCTGGGCCTCCTTGATGGTGCAAGGGGTTAAAGCCTCAGCCTTATGAAGCTATCAGCAGCCACTGCAACACAAGTTCAATCCCCAGCCAGAGAGGTGACCCAGGTGACCCAATGGCACAGCAGACCTCTCCTGTCTCACCACTGCTGCCCTCAGCAGTGTATTTCAGCAAATCTGCCTACTCTGCTTCCAACTCTGTCTCTTGTGAATCTTCTCACCCCCATACCTCTGGCCTAGACACTATTGCTTGTATGCATAAATAAAAATAAAGCCTTACAGCCCTCCCTGGTGGCGAAGCGGGTTAAAGCACAGCACTGAGAATCTAAAGCCGCTTCCGCATGAGTTTGATTCCCGCCTGCCCTGGAGGTGACCACATGGCGTGGCAGACCTCTCCTGACCCACCCGCTGCTCCCCTCAGCAGTGTATTTCGTCTCTCTGCCTGTTCTGCTCCCCACTCTGTCTCTGGTGAAGCCTCTCGCCGCCCCTGAGCCTCTGGCTTGTATCCCAATTCTGTATGAACAAATAAATAAATCTTTAAAAAAAAAAAACAACAAAGAAGGTATTTATCCTCGCCTGAAGGATGGAGGAGGTTCAAGGAAAGAGGAGGGAGGTCCATGTGATGAAAATACCACACACTGGGTAAACCACACCTTTGTTTTTCCATATAATTATGTTCTCCAATAGTAAAGTTATTTCTGGAGATAAGCTGAGTAATGTTAGCAATTTTCATTCTTTCTGATAGTTAATGGAGCACAAAAAGTTTTCTTAAACCTGCAGGATCTTGACTAAACTCAGCTTAAAATAATCCTCATGCCAAATGACACATTTTGGGAAGACCTCAGGAGGTTCATCCTTTAGTATACATGCTAATAAACTTCAATTTTTTTTCTCTTGTTAATCCTATTTTTATTGCAGGTGATTTCAGTTAATAACTTAGAATTTTTATTACAGGTGATTTCAGTTAGTATCTCAGAAGAACATAGGGAAATTCTTATTTTTCTTGCCCACATCACCATGGAAATGCTATTACGGGAATTCAGTTTTCTAGGACGATTAGTCAGGTTTCCAGTCATGCAAGTAATATATTTATAAAATGCTCAAATTTTACAGATTAACCATTCATCATCTTTCATGTTTAAAGCCCAATAGACAATTACCCATAAAATACAATATATTATATAAAATGCAAGTCAAATAATCAGTAAATTTTAGTAACTAGAAGGAATGAGTGACTTCACTTTTAAAAACCTTTCTCACCATGAAGAATAAACACTGAAATTAAACAATGAAACATTTCAACAAAAGATATGCATAACTACCAGAAAATATTACTGCTAGAAGTTCATTTTCAGGATTTGATTTTACACTAAAATAACATTACTTAGCTTTAAATCAACTAATGAGAACCTAAGGCAAAAAGAATTTCATTTCACTTAATTTATCAATTCTTCAATTACTTTCTTTAATCCAAACAATTATACACAAAGGAAGGTCCTGCTCTTTAATTTTTTAACATAATGTACATAGCCACAATACTATTTCAATTTCAAATTATGGGAAATCACATTCATCTATGCTTGGATTTGACAAGTTGATATTACAATACTGAGAAATTTCATGAAAAAGGCATTTAACAATTTGTAAGATAATCAAATATCTTTTTGCTACGTGGGCCAATGCATTAATAGTAATTTGTTTAAAAATGCAGTCTTTTGGACTATAAAAGAATATCAAGATATAGAGATATACTTTCTGACTTTGTCAAATTCATTCCATTTTGAAAGCTGAAGGCAAATGGTATACACCAGAACATTTCATGAGGCCATCTCTCCTTTGTACTTACCTGTAAAAGTCAAAAAAAGAAGCCACACTATCATGACATAGCTACTTCTAAAATACATTAATAGAACTGTAATCATAAAAGACTACTATAACTAAATTATCACTTTTATAGTAACAATTTTCACCACAATACATCTTTCCTATAAAGATAAAAAAAAATTGGGAATCTGGATTCCCCTTACTGAACTTAACATAATAGAATCTTATATTTTCTGGTTTTAATAAACTTCGGCTCTTTTTTTCCAACAGGAACTATCTACAACAGCAGAGCGCTACAATTAATTATTCCAGTGAGATGTATATTTAGATCACAATATGATCAACACAATAGTGCCATACAAAGTTTTTCTGCAGGTAAAAATGCTAAGAAAGGCCACAGTGGACAGTGCCAGACACTGTGAATACAGTAGATAACAGGTACCACTGAGGTTCAGAGACCACAATTTTCAATTTTGTTTCAGCAATGGAAAAAGAAAAACATTTAGAGAAACATAAGAGTAAAAATATATACTTCCACTGTCAATAATGTAATTTTTCAGATACTGTTTCCTTAAACAGGCAAATTAGCTTAACTTTAAAGTCAAAGAAAGTGAACAAGATCAGAATATGAAAGATATTCCTTGTTTCCTCATCAAAGGAATGCACTGGGATTAGCACGAGGATCTTTCTGGTTCCTGTATCGGTAGGTCAGCCAAACACCCAGGATCTGGAATAGAAAAAAGAGAGAAGAAAGAGAAGGTTAATGGCTGTGTATATTCAGCTTATCAATAAAATAACCCAGAAGCCTTGAAAGTACTCTGTATTGTTTGTTCAAAGGGGAAGAGATTACTTTCTCTTCTAAAAACTAGGAACCCAAACGAGAGACCCTAAGAAAAATTAACATGAACACTGAGGTAGATTAGAGAATGGCTCCAAGGATGTCCACATTATAACCCACAGAATCTGCAAGTATGTCATTTTATAGTAACAGAGATTTTGCAGATGTAATTGAAGATCATGATATAGGAAGATTATCTGGATAGACTCCACGACGTATGCACAAGAGTTCTTGGAAGAGAAAGGGCAAAACCAGATATTTATAAAGAAAAGGCAATATGATAACAGCAGCAGGGGAAACACAGTCAAAAAGATGCTGCAAGGTGCCTCTCTGGTGGCCTATGGGTTAAATCTCAGCACTACCACAGTGATGGTAGTTTAATTTATCAATTCTTCAATTGATAAAGTGAAGTGGCCTGAATCTAATACCTGGCAAGGAGCTGACCCACATATGGTACAGCAGACCTCTCGCTTCACCCACTGCTCCCCTCAGCAATGTGTTTCAGTACATTTGCCTGTTCTGTTCCCCACTGTCTCCAGTGAATCACCACTGGCACCTCTGGCCTACACTCTTGTATGCAAAAATAAATAAAACTAAAGCAGTAACAAAAATCCTACAATAACTATTTTGAAAACACAGATCATATGAACTGTTATAACTCCTACCTTAGGGGATGGGGGAGGCAGCATAAATTTAGAAAAGTAGTAAGTTGTTACTGTGCCATTTCCCATGCCAGGTTCACTAAGAGTTAACCAGCGTAACTTTTTTTTTTTAAATTAAGAAATGTGTGAATTCTACTTCTGCTACTTCAAAATAGATTTTTTTTTAAAGATTTATTTTTTCACAGAAAAAATAACAAGAACTGGGGAACAAGCCAGAGGTGCAGGGGCAATGAGAGGCTTCACCAGAAATAGAGTGGGGAGCAGAACAGGCAGACTGACCAAAGTATACTACTGAGGGGAGCAGCAGGCAGGTCAAGAGAGGTCTGCCACATAATGTGGGTCACCTCCGGGTTGGGAGATCAAACTCATACTGAAGTGGCTGCGACTAGCTTGCAGTGCTGCATCCTAACCCGTTGTGCCACCAGGGAGGGCCCAGATTTATTGTAATAATCAAAAATTCATAGACTGCGAAGAAAACAAATTTTAATGCAACATAATGAAATTAAATATTCATAACTACTCATTAACCCCTTAAATTATTTCTAGAAACGTGTGTTATGACCCAAATTTTGTCTACTGAACACAATTAACTGATTTACTGTAAAGTTTATGACTAGCAATGTTTATAGCTACACGCAAGGGATGATGGAACAATGGTTTGCAAATTGAATCAAGGAGCAACATGTCTAATTTAAGGAAGTGGCAAATCTGGTGTGAATTCTGTATGATGGGGAGAAAAAGAAATTTACTTAACACACACAAAACACTCTATGACAGTCTGCACTCCATGTACTACAAATTCAACAACTCCACAGTGATAGACTATCATTATCCTTATTTTACCAGTGAGAGAATGAGACAGAGAGGTTAAGTAACTGTAAAAATCACACAAGCACACAAGAGTTCAAACCTTGAGTTCATGCTCTCAATGTGGTTTTATATGGCAGTCTGACGTGCTACTGGTCATCCTCAGACTAACATTTCCCTGCCATTTAACCTACTCTGATTGCTAATATACTGAAATACTTATACACTCATCACAAAGCTACTTTTCTCCCAGTCTCCAACCTACCCACAAAACCATTTCCCTGACCAAACCCTGGAGCTGTGGCACCAGCTTTCCGGTTACAATTTTTGATGTGGCTAAATATTTCCATTTTCATCCCTGGATAAATGCCAGTTGTATAATTTACAGTTCTTAAATAAAACAAAGAAACTGGCTAAATTTAACACCCATAACTTGGTGACACGTTTTACCAAAATTTAACTTCCCAAATTCATCAATAAGTGACAAATGGGAAAAACTCTTTCTTTGTCCATTGCTGAATCACAATGTTCTCCTCACTCTGAGGGAGAGCTTGAAAGGTGGCCATGCCCCAAATACAAGTAAGTCAAAGTTAGATAATAATTGCATTTTAAACTTTCAATGGTGCTCATGATTTAAAGGCTTTCAACGTTAATTTTAACCAGACCTGACCAGGAATTTGCTGATTCTCTGTGTACATCCTGTATACAGTGGTCACCCAAAGACAGTTCCAAGCATAGAAATGTGTATGTAGATGTAATGACTTTAAATTTATTTTCAAGTATTATAAATAGTTCAAATCAAATCTTTCCATTTCCTCAATGATGGGAAATCAGCTCTTCAAATGCACCCTTTCAAATTCGGAGGCTCTATGGAATCCTGAGAAACAATTTCTTAAATGAGAGTTTACTCTCATTTACAAAACTAACTGTCCAGAAAATAGCAAGTTATGTAAAATGTCCAGCTGGTTTTCAAGAGAAAGTGGTTACACAAAATATAGAGAATTCTGTAAAAGACAAATAAAAATCTAAGACAAGTTTAAATTTTTAATGGATTGCTCTTTGAAAATCAGCCGGGTAGGGGTGAACCAACAAAGCACAGAGTATTTTTAGGGCTGTGAAAATATTGTGTGATACTATCATGATGGGCACATGTTTCTATTTATTTTCCCAAACCCACAGAATATAGAACACCAAGACTGAACACTAATGCAAACTATGACTTTGGTCAATATGCCAAAATGTGTTCCTTAACAGTAACAAATATATCACTCTGCTGAGTAATTATGAGGAAGGCTAGGTATTTGTGGGGGCAAGGAGAATACAGGAAATCTCTGTACCTTTCAGTGTTGCTGTGACCTTAATAAAACAGTTCTGTAAAAAAGTCCTTTTTTAAAAAAGAGCGTTAACTTTAAGAAAGGCAAAACTAAAGGCATGATCTGATGAGAAGAAAATGGAACGGCTCAAAAGAACTAAAATCTCAAAATAAACTTTGGATATAAAAAGAAACCATATTTGTCAAAATGTTGATAACTCTTGAGTCTAACAGATATATATAGATTGCTCATTCCAGTTTTTCTCCAACTAGATTTTTAATTTTTCATAACAAAAAAAAATCATGTTTTAAAGAGAAAGAAATGATGCACAGAAACATTTTCAAGCTGGATCTGAAAGATCTTAACTCAAAATCACAACCAGCACACAAGAGAGAAGTGAAAAAAAAAATACACAAAGTAGGAAAGAGTGTCAGGAGAAATATTTTAAAAACTGAATGCTAACTTTAATTTTTATCTTCACTTTGCTGATAATACTCAAGTATGGACTTTTTTATTCTTGAAAGTAAAAAAGAAAATGAACTAGAAAAAAATATATACACATATATAATGTGTTCTACATTAATATTATATACAATATATTGTATATAAGGTAATGCATATGTTGTACACATGTGTATGCATAATATAGTTCATACATGAATATTACATATAAACAATCAAAATGCAGCTGATAAAATTGCATTGCATAACTGAAATATGCTAAAAGAGTAAGACTTAACTTGTTCTCACCAAAAAAATAAGGAAACGTGGCTGCGTTTTAATTAACTACATAGGGTGAGGTATCCTTTCACAATGTATTCAAATATAGAATCAAGTTGTACACTTTAAATGTCTTATAACTTTGTCAACTGTACCTCAATGAAACTGAAAACTATATACATATAGTACATACGTATATAGATACATATACTTCTATATATAAAATCACCTAGATAAACCATTTAGGGAAAAGGTGACAGAATTCAGTGACAAGCAGAGGCCACCCTGGCCTACCATTAAGTATCAGCTTTATTACCTGGAGGGCCTGAGTTTAATCCCCGGCCAGGGAGCTGACCCACATGATGCAGCAGACCTCTCCTGTCTCGCCCACTGCTTCCCATAGCAGTGTATTTCAGTAGATCTGCCTGTTCTGCCCACTCTGACAGTGGTAAATCCTCTCACACCCCACTCCATACCTCTGGTCTATACCCCATGCAAAAAAAAAAAAGCATTACCCGACAACCGACAAGTAGAAAATACTGTGTTTTCAATAATAAAAAATAGTTAAGTAAATGCCAAAGAAATTGACAACAAATGAAGACATCAAATAGAATGAGGAATGAAAAAAAGAGACAGCAAGGGAGGTGAAGGAGGAAACAAAGGGAAGTGGACAACATTCTTATGCACCTGAATTTCTAATTCCCTTATGCTCATAGGGCCAACTTTTTTATGCACACTACATCATACCCTCATTCTAGGCCGGAAGCCCATTTGCTATTTTTATATAAATTCCCCATTTTTGTATACACTATTTTAATTTAATACATGCAAACCAGAGGGCCTCAATAAGAGTGGGAAGCTCACAAGCAAAAAAACACAGATGGTCAAAAACCATGACTATGTGGTCAGCTTCACTAGTTAGTCATGTTTTCAAAAGAGCAAATAGAAGTATATTATCTGTCAAACTGACAGATATTTTTAAAAGTAAAAATATTCAGCATTTGTGATTGAAATCAAAATGTGATAGAATCTTACTAGAATGCAAGTTAGCAATATCTATCAAAAACCTTTTACAATATTCTTACACTAAGTAAGTCACCTTTTATTTTATGAGATGTATCCAAAGGAAAAAAAATAGAGAATACAGATTTTAAAATTACATACAATAAAGGTGGAAAATTAAATAACTAAAAAGCTAAATGCTTTCAATTACAACCCCATAAAACACTTAAATTTTCCTGATTTTAAAATGCATCTTCACCTCTACAAAAGCCTCCCCAAATTCATAGTTACATACTCAAACTTATTTACTGCATTACTTTACAAATACAATTTGATTATCTGTCTAAAACAAAAGTGTGACATGGATATCCGAACATGGCAGTAAAAAAGGTCTTACCATTTCTCTAAATAGAGCATCACAAGGTACCTTAAACATCAGCAATTTATTAATGGCTACAGATTGGTAGTACCAGGTGAAATATTACCAATTTGGCAATATCTATCAAAAATTTTTAAAATAATCATCACAACAATCCTATGAAATGGAGATAATATTCCAGGTTTTAAAGCTAAGGACACAAAAGCACAGAGAGGTTAAGTAGCTTGCCCAAGTTCACATAGTTAATAAGCAGTAAAACTAGGTTTTTAAACCAGTGTATTTCGTGACTATTTGTTGAATTTCTTAATTTAACCAGTTCATTATTGAAGAAAACAGTTGGTCCAAAAATTTTCTATTATAAACAATAATAAACATTCTTATGATTCCATTTTAGTTATATTCGCTACAAAAAAAACTTGTATGTTAAAGAAAAAATTTAATTTTGATACATGTTGCCAACTTAGATGTATCAAAAAAAAAGTCCACAATTATTCAGAACTTCAACAGACAATGAGGAAGACCTCCATAATCCTCAAAAAATATCGGATATACGCATGGTTTTGCTTACATATATAAATATATATCAAATGCTTTAATAATCAATTTTTAATATAGTATAAAATATATAGGTAACAAATTTTAAAAAGTTTTCCTTATAGATTTTGGAGGCTAGGAACAAAGAGAATTGGGAGATAGTGTTACAAGGTAATTTTTCAAAGCATACCTTTATACATATGGATGTGTGAATTAAGACATTAACATAAATATAAAACCATGAATGGGCCCTATCTATTCCAAACTTAAATTTAAAGCTATAATTTATATACAACTCTAGAAATATCAGAGACCCAAGAGATAACTCAGACAACTCTCTTCCTTTTATTTAAACTTTATTAAAAGTTTTTTTTTATTAAACTTTGCATAACTGATTAGCAAGCATCTCACTCTCTATAAAGTGAGTATTAAATCTATTAGGCTTTCTGAATCCAAACCAAGCCTTCCCCTATAGAAATACCACATTCCAATGAAAATAGCCATCAATATGTCACAAAAGTTAAATGTCACACAACAATAAAATGCCATGTCCTTTAAGCACATAGGACAAGAATCCTGGGCCTCCCTGTAACACAGGGTTTGAGTCTCAGAACTATCTACCTATTGCCAGCCACTGAGGCATGAGTTCAATCCCTGTCCTGGGAGCTGACCTATATGACACTCGCTGCTCCTCTCAGCATATATTTCAGTAGTACACTAGTATTTCAGTACACTCTGCTTCCTACTCTGTCTCAGGAAACCTCTCATCCCCTGCACCTTTTGCCTGCACCCCAGTTCTTGTATGCATAAATAAATATAATAAATCTTTTTTATAAACCAAATAAGAATTCCCATGGCAAAGGAGGAAATGGATTGATTGAGCTTTGTGCACATACCTCTGTAAAACTGAAGAAGAGGCCAATGCCACCAACAAATCTCAAAACCTCTCCAGCATATCTTCCTATTATCGGAGCACATGGTGAGCACAGGTGGCTGCTTTTAACACAACTCTGCATCAATTAAAAATAAAGACCTTTGATTTCAAAATACATTTATTAAGAGCAGATAAAAACCAGATTCATATAAAAAAGATTGTCTGGGAGTCCTGCATATAACTAGTGGTCATTTAACAGCGTACAAAATTCTAAGATGATTCCCATCATTCCTACCCCCATGGCCCAAGTAGCAAATAAAGCAGCCTCAAGAAGTTGACAGTCAACCAGCAAATAACAGTTCATTAGTCCTATAATCGTAAGAGTAGGATTCTGCCCACAACCACTAAGCTTAGTAGAGGATTCTAAGACTCAAATGAGACTGAAATCCCAGCCAACAAATATATTTCATCCCATGGCATCTGAGCAGAGCCCACCTAAGCTATAACCAGACGCCTCTCCTACAGAAACTGAGATAATAAATGGGTGTTATTTTAAGTCATCAATTTTGTGACAATGTTGCACAGTAATGAAAAACTAACACATACCCTTATGAGGGTATCACTTCACAATAAACTTCATGGAGTAGAAATGCAGTTCACGGCTCAGAGAGATGATTACAGGAGTTTCTCCAAAATATGAGCATAAGTGAACCTCCTACAACAGAGCTTCCTGACTCCATCCTCATCTAGAGCCAAGTGGAAGATGGAGGTCTAGCCTGGCACAGCAAGATGACTCCAGTCACCACTCAGATCCCAAACAGAGGACACCAACTTGTGGTGGGGAAGAAGGGAAAGAAACAAGAGGGGCGGTCTATGTCTTCTACCTTGGAAATGGTTAAGAAGCCAACCTTAATAGAGACCCTTCTCCTCCTACTCACCTGATATGCTTCAAAGCCTAAATATTTATGCTCTCTGAATCTCTAAGGCTGATCTACTACTAATTTTCTTTCACAACCTGTATTAGAAGGAACTGAATGGGAAATAACTAAGACAAAGAATCAACAGATTTGTGTGTGCCAGTGCCCAGGAAAATCAGTACAATCAGGTAGCGGTATTTGAGAACAGGCAGATGATATAATAGTATACATAAAATATAATGTAATATATGTAAAACACTTTAAAAATACAGTTCAACATCAGAAAGTGCCTATCTTCCATGTCATCCACTATTCATTTGTATGTCATACATCAAAAAAAAAAATTTATACTTTATACTTACAGCTGGACAGGTGTCATTTGTGTTAAAACTTCGAAATCCACAGCAGTTTAAGTTTCTCTGAATGTCATCTCGAGCGCTTGCTGTATTGTTCCAGCCAACTTCTAGAAGTTGACCCTAGAAAATGCATTTAATATATATATATTTAAATAAGTCATAAATACATAAAATATGTAGTTAGAGCCTACAACTTTCAGTACTGGTATATTCTTTATTACTCCATCAAAATGTTTCAATGACTTATACTTGTACCTCAACCTGCAACAAAATTTAAGGCAGTATTTCTATGCTAAAAATGAAGTACTAAATTTTACATGCAATTTAAAAGCACTTGGTTCAAAGGCATATTTTCAGAATAGAACAAGATAAATTTTCCACTGCTCCCAGAAAGAAACCCATATTCCTCTTCAAACTAGAATCTAAAAACAGTAATTGCTAGACTGGGACTACAAGTAAATTGAAGCAAATGTTTCACTGCATGATGGTGGAGAAAGACTGAACAGTTATCTTTTTGTGATAATGCTTTTTTACTCAATGAGTGCAAAATTCTATGTAAAGGATACAAAAAAATATGGCAACAACTGACGGACTTTTAGGGCTCCACTCAGCCACATAATATAGTCAAGAACAAACGATTTTAGCTACATAGAATAAAATGGCATTCTGAGCAAGAAGAAATTATTTCATATTACAATTTTTGTCCCTATTACTCCCATTCATACTTTATGGTATTATAAAGTAGAAAAAAATTTTCTGCTTACCTGTTGCTCCTCATTCAGGGCTAAACAAGCACAAGATACAGAAAATTGAACAAGAAAGACAAGTAGGAGAATAATCATGTACTGAGAATTAAAAGTTAAGGATATATCTAAGTGCTCTTAAAACAACATGAAACTGAAATACTGACAACTTTAGATAGTACTAGAAGAAATCCACCCTGCAAGTGATACTTAGAGAAAATGTGGAAAGTATAAACACAATTATTTCAACAGTACACTGCAAATATGTTCATATGAAAAAAATACTTATGATGCTGACAATTATTTAACTATTTTGTCTAATTTCATTTAGGATAAAGTAAAAATTCTCTTACATAACAGTAAACTAGTAAAAATAAACCCACACACCCTACTCTTTCCTTGTATAAGCAGAAAGGTAGAGTAGCCAAGTGGTAAGGCATCAATCTCACATATTGTCCAAAACACACCACTAAAATTCTCAACTAAATATGCCTATGTAGGAAGGAACTTAGAGGTCACTAAATCAGTTCAGTATAATTCTAAATTGACAAATACATCAACAGGATACTTGTGTACCTGCAGCTTACATTCCTGATATAGACCAGGAGAAAGCAGGAGGACAAAGACGCACAGTAACTTCACACGAAGAAATGTTCCCATTGTTAGCTGGACAAATAACAGGACTTGCTATAAGTTTGCTGCTTGCCAATTAAGTTCCTAAGGATAATTTTAATTGTCATTATCAAAACAGTAATTAATAACTGGTAAAAAACAAACGCTGTTGAAGTAAAACTCGTACTTTCAAAAAAGGATACAAAAAATAACAACACCTGATGGTGTTTTACGGCTCCGATCAGTCCCACTAAAGCGATCAGGAACAAGAAGATGCCCACTGCGATGACCACGCCCACCACACGGAGACTGGAAATCAGCCCAAAGCCAATGCCCCATGCAGCGATGCCAATCAGCAACAGACTAACCAACTGCGAAACAACCAGAAGAGGTGGAAATGGGCAGGGGAGGAGGGAAGTAGGGTGAAGAGAAAGGTAAAACGTCAATTAAAATAGTGTCAAAACAATTGTTAGTCATTAACTTAAATATCTTACAAACGATTCTAATACTACTATTGATAGAATGTACACAAGATCTCAATAGTAGTACTATTTTAACAAACTATATTTATCCTCAATCGTGTTTTTTTAATAAAAAACAGTTACAGTATACACAAAGGTTGATTTTTAATGATTCATACCTGAAACTTATATAACACAATGTCAATTAAAAAATTTATTATTATTAAAATATATATATATATAAAACTAACAATAATTTATAAATGTTTTATGACACCCTGGAGATTGTCTAGCTTATTAAGCAGAATTATTGTTAATTAAGCTTTTGAAATAATAGCATTATGTAGAACTGCTAGACTCAAAACTTCTCAAACAATCATCATAGTGATCTCTTCACATGGAAATAATTTATATTTCCTTCAAAGTCCAGTTGGGCTCTAAATGCTTCCTCTTCCCCCAAGTAAATTAACCTCTCCTGTTTCTGGCCATCTGTTCCTGGAGGAATGCTCACTTTTTATTTCCAAGCCTGTCTCTCCCAGGATATTGAGAGCAACTGGAGAGTTAAGACCCCCATCTTTTTACCTGCCTGCATCCTAGAGCCTATCACAGAATTTGTCCATGGGAACACTGAAACTTCTTGTGAAATTACTGCCAAAGCAAACTGCATGAGATGACACTTTGTATTCTATATATACATATATAGCATTCATATACATGTAATGTATACCTTATATGTTACTCTCGATATACATGTATGTATACACATATACACAGAGAGAAACACCATTGAAACTATTCCTTAAATAAATCACTCTCTGAATCTATGTCCTATTTTCCTCTATTTCTCTGGGGATGACTGATTGATATATTAGGTTCCTGTGATGTGTTGTAAATGTAGACCATCTTCAGTATTTGGCACCCCAGCAAGGTAGGGATGCAAAAGATAGGGGTCTTAACTCTCCAGTTCATTGAAACACCAATGAAAAGAGTCTAAGAGATTTTAGCAATGCATGGAAAATTATATTCTGCACATAAAGAAACTCTTTCCTATTCTATCATTTTATTTATATAATTACAAAACAAAACCAAGTGCAGTCACATGCCTCAAAATTGATTATCACCTATAAACCTCATACTAATTTCTTTAAAATAACAAATAAGCATCATGAGACAGAGTATAATCAACTGACAGATGATATACCTTTACATCTGTATGAGGGAGGAGTTGGGTCTTAGAACAAAAAAGGAAATGGTTTTTTTTTTCAATTCAATCCAGAATCACTTCTGGTGCATGTTGACAATGTAATACCCAGTTAGGAGGAATCAAAACATACACAATATACTTTCCAGCATAATTTTAAAGTCTAATAAATATTGTTTAGAAATATAAATAAACCACCACCATTATGCAATTTTTATTCAAATGTGTAATTTTTCATGTATATCGTGACAGTTTATTAGACACAAATTATAAATGCCTTTGGTATATAAAACTTTTGCACATAGAGAAATACAAATAAAACTGCTAAATTGGACAGACACAGCAACTATTTGTATTTTTATCCACTTATTATAAAGAGGAAAAACTTGAAGATGAAAGAAGCTATCTTTAGAATAACAGAACAATATGGACATGGTGTTCTCTACTGCAGTTAGGATACACAGAAAGCCTTTGTTTTCAGAAACAGCAGCAAAGAGAAAAAAAAAATCACACAATTTTTGCCACCCAGAAACACGTCTAGTTGTCCTGGTTTTTTTCAACTGCCTCTTATCAGCAGGTCCATTTGCTTCTATCTTATTTTTGTCATCTCACGTCTTCTCACAACTTCAAGGGGAGTGAGAAAAAGCCCTCTGTCCCTTCACAAGTAAGCTTATTTTTGACTTGGTGGACTCCAAATATAAAACAATTCTTTTTATGAGATATAAAAGTCAGAAGCCTGAAGGAGTTACAAAGAAAGAAATGTGAGACACAGGGCCAAGCCTTGTCTTGGTGGGAGGAGAAGGCTAAATTTTGCATCCCTAGCTTGCTGGGGTGCCAAATACTGAAGATGGTCTACATTTACAACACATCACAGGAACCTAATATATCAATCAGTGATCCCCAGAGAAATAGAGGCAATAGAACATAGATTCAGAGAGTGATTTATTTAAGGAATAGGTTCATAATATTGTGGGAACTAGCAAATTCAAACTTCATAAAATAGATTAGGGACTCAGGCAGGATTTCTATCTTGTTTTTATCTACATAACAGTGCTTTATAAAATATGCTACATTAAATTCACCATAAAAGTTCAATTCTATTCTTCACCATTTTTGTCATTTACCTCCCTTCCCTCTGTCCATCTGTTAATTTCTGTTGGTCTTATGTAGTAAAAGTTTGTTTTATTTAGTTCATTTATTTGTTTTGTTTTGTTTATGTAACACATTATGAGTGAAAACACACATTACTGGTCTTTCTCAGTCTGATTTATTTTTACAAAGTATAAGACTTTATTCATCCATGCATGTTGTAAATGGCAAGAGTTCGTCTTTTTATAGCTATATAATATTTCACTGCGTTACACATACCACATCTTTTTTTTTCTATAATGCAGTTTTTAGGCAGGATTCCTTATTTCTTAGGAAACCTCAGTTTTGTTCGTAAGGCTTTTGACTGACTAGATAACACCCACCCTACTATAAAGGATATTCTACTTAAATCTGCCTACTAAGTAAAAAGTTAATCACATCTAAAAAACAATGTATTTACAAAACAATGGGGTATCACTGCCCAAGCAAGCTGACATATAAAATTAACCATCACATTTGCCAACTTCAAGTACTGGGTGTCTATTTCCAAATTCAAATAAAATCAGGATCAGAATCATCACTCTATTGCATTTGTTTGAGTCTTAGGGCCGAAAAGATCAGAAGCGTAAACAACACGATACATAAAAGTTACCTAACATACCAAACTCTTACCACAAGTGAAATATTCCTCAAGAAACAGTTGGTGACCACTTTTCACTGAAAGTCAGTGGTAAGATATCCCTACTAGAACAAAGGTAGTCAAACTTTCTCTATCAAGGGTCCGCTATTTCCCATCAGGCTTTTGTAGATCACATGGTCTGCCACAATTACTCAGCTCCACAGTTACAGCACAAAAGCAGCAAACAATATATAAACAAAAGAGCAGAGCTGAGTTCCAATACAGTTCCACTTACAGACTCTAAAATTTAAGTTCATATGCTTTTCCCACATAACAAAATACTCCTCTTCCTTCCTTTATTTTTCCCCCATCCATTTAAAAATGGAAAGCCATTCTGAGCAAGCACACTATACAAAAATGGGTAGTCAGACAGCTGCAGTCCATGAGCTATAGTTTGCTGATCTCCTCCCTAAAAGTCAGTGTAGGAAAGAACGTAAGTTTTCAAAGGACAAATAACTGCTGTAATAAGGTGGGTCAGAGAATAGAACAATAATTTTAAAATACCCAGATAAACTGAGATGGAAAAAGTCAAAATGATATAAAAATAATTATATTTTTTTAAAAAATGATAAGTTAAAAAAAACAAACACGGCCCTCCCTGGTGGCGCAGCAGGTTAAAGCACAGCACTGAGAAGCTAAAGCCACTTCCGCATGTGAGTTCGATTCCCGCCTGCCCCGGAGGTGACCACATGGCGTGGCAGGCCTCTCCTGACCCTCCTACTGCTCCCTTCAGCAGTGTATTTCATCAATCTGCCTGTTCTGCTCCCCGCTCTGTCTTTGGTGAAGCCTCTCACCGCCCCTGAGCCTGTACCCCAGCTCTGTATGCACAGATAAATAAATCATTAAAAAATAAATAAATAAATAAAAACAGATAAATAGCCCAGGACAAAGACTGCAATGACGGAGTAAAGGAAAAGGAACAGATTAAAAAAAAAAATAAGTAACTGGGAATATTAACTCATAGAGCAAAAGCATGAATGTATGGGAAGGGACATAACAAAATTAAGGGTCAAAAAAGGAGTTTATCCTGGATTACTGGATGATTCCTAAATGTCAATAAAAGCATCTTATAAAACAGCATCAGAGGAAGTCTAGATGGATATACTGAGAGAAGGCAATGTACACACAGAGGCAGAGAGAAATGCCACCAAAAGCCAAGGAATGCCAAGCAATCCCAGTAGTCACCAGAAAACAAATGCAACAAGGAAAAGATTCTTTGGGGGTGAGTGGAACTCTATGGACACTGTACTTTCAATCTTTAGGTCTCCAGAATTGTATAAATAAATTCCTGTTGCTTTTAAGTTACTGTGTTTCTGGTGCTTTGTCACAAAGGCCCTAGAAAAATAAAACAGGACAATTTACATATTTGGACTTAGAAAAGTCAAGAATCTGACCTTTAGAAAGCTAGCTAACATTTTACCACTAATGGAATCCTTACCTTGTCTGAAAGATCCAGGTATCCTTGTCAAAACCATACCAGCAAACCAAATTCTTTGTTTATAAGAGCAGCTTTTCAAAAAATGAGACCATCCTCTTCTCACTTCACTGCCAATTTATAAGCTTACTAATAAGAAGAAATGAGATTTTTCCCTTTGAAAAATAAGTCCTACAACTAAAAGAAAGGAGGAGTACTTTATCCCTTCTTAGAATTTCCAGCTCTCAAAATGGCATTCTGCTGTTATTGAAAGCATTATCTAGACTTTTCATGATTATCTGCTTTCATTTGTTTTCCAATGAGAGAAGAACCACATCCTTCTATGTAACTGTCTATCAAGAGCAATTCTTACCAAACTCACTCTGCAGTATCTCTAACATGTTTTCCCCATTTCTACTACTAGACACCCCTCCCTGAAAAATACTGAAAAGGGTATCTGTTTTGTTTTCCTTGTTCACAGATTTATTTATTTATTTATGCATACAGAACTGGGGTACAGGCCAAAG